AACTACAACTCTCTGTTGCCTGTCACTCAGCCACTACCTTACCCATTCAACAAGATTGGAATCCAAACTTAAAGATTGCAGTTTATTGATAAGCCTTCTATGTGTCAAAAGCCTTACTGAAATCTAGGTAAGCAGTAATGTCTACTGCACCACCCTGATCTATAATTTTAGTTACGCAATAAAAAAAAATCAATAATATTAATTTGGAATGATCTCCCTGAAGTAAAAGTCAAAGACCAAGGACATAGGGCGAAACAAGGAGTACATCCTGCCCAATACTCCACGTTAGTAAATTTACTTAAAAATAATATGAGAAACTACCAGACAGAAAAATAAATATGTATAAGAGAAAATTACCACCATAGAAACTATAACCAGGAAACATCTATTCAGGATGGTCATTCAATCCAACTTGTTGGTTGTTTAAAGAGTGTCCAGGTTGTGCGGAGTTAGAGATACATCAGAGAAAGACTAAAATTCCACAGGGCCCTAGGGAGGAGATGCAACGTGTGCAGGAACAATTTGCGTTTAATAGTAGTTTATAGCAAGAAAATTCCACGGTTACAGAAGAGAAGGTTTGGTTAGTACATTACAACAATAAAAACGATGGAAAGAGTACTTGATTACCAGGATTGTGATCTTATATTCTATGTACATAGTCTGAGTGGTTGGCAATACATGCGATATATATATATATATATAAAAATAAAAAGGAAAACAGTATAACATCTTTAACATAAACTAGATCGAAGTAAACGTGTCCCATTTGGGAGTTAGGTTAACTAATCATTAGTAATAAAGAGGAACCCTTTGCATTGATGAGAGAAAAGCCTCTTCCGTCAACCACTCCTGGGAACATCATAAAAGGAGTGGAGACTATCATACCGGAATGTAATCGAGGTCTGAAGGATTGTACATGGTATGTATAAAGTTTAGCCTCAAAGTGAGTCAGGACGACGCTGAAGTGTGTGTGTGGGGAGGGGGGCTGGTGAGAAGGGTGATTATGAGCAGAAAAGATAATCGTATGAGAAACAGCATGTAATGCAAGTGTATAGAGTACGGGCACAATTTGTATTCTACTAGCAAATGTTTGTGTTTCTACAAAGTCAACTTCAGGACCCTGGAGCATGTCTAAGGTTTAGTGTGCCGTGTGCTCTGACCAGTTGGGTGATATAACTTGAAATAGCTTGATGAAGAAGTCAGCAACCTCAATATTCTATATTATTACATGTGGAAAAAAGTATCTTGAGCACTTGATGTAGGCAACTAATCTCGGATTGCATATGGTTAACCTTAGTTATTGAGGATCAATAAACCACATAGATAGTATATTGCTAGCATTCAAGTGTATCAGTAGATGTGCTCAGTTAATTTATTTGTATTTTAGTTTGAATCTCAGCTGTCAGAGTATCTTGTAGGTAATTTTGCAGATCATGAGGTCTCCTCTTAACAAAAGCTAGGGACCTCTGTGACATATCTAATAACTCCGACTGAGAAGAATAGGAAATTGATCTCATTAATTTCTATGGAACAGAAAACCTTGCCAAGGTTGTTTGATTCTGCTTTCAAGTTGAAAATAATCAGATAAAAAATCTTAAGTAGATCTGCGCCCTAGTATGTCTCTGTTTCTTACATAACCTAGTAATTCTTCTGATTTAACATTTTATCATCAAGAGAAAGCGGCCTAGTCCTTTGACAGCACCTGAGAACAAAATCCTGGTCCGGCCAAAGGTTGAGACAGAAGTGCTAAGTACAAATTGACACCACAATTGGTGCATTATCAACCTACACTATACACCCTGAACCAAACTGAATATAAATTTTAACTTGCGTCTATCATCTGTCCGTACTCCCACCTCTGATGCTCACCTTCAAGACTTCTCGAGGGTTGCACCGTTCCTGTGGAACTCTCTTCCATCCTCCGTTAGATGCTCACCCGTCTCTACTCCTTCAAAAAATCATTAAAAACCCACTTCTTCATAAAAGTGTATCAATTAAACTGTTAATAGCTCCCGACTGATTCCTGTCTTGCAACTGTCACTAGTCTAATACTATCCTAACCTTTTTGTGTCATTTTACCCCACTCCCCCTAGCATGTAAGCTCATTGAGCAGGGCCCTCAACCCCTCTGTTCCTGTGTGTCCAACTTGTCTGGTTACAACTACATGTCTGTTCGTCCACTCACTGAAAAGCGCTGCGGAATTTGTTGGCGCTATATAAATAATAACATAATAATATTAAATTAAACTGAAATGTATATAGTTGAGCTATTAGCTGCCTACTCTCCGCTATACATCTTGTCCAACTCCTCACTGTCCATCTCCAGGAGTCATTAGGTTCTAAAGCTTTTTTTTTTTCTTCTTCTTTTTGTTTGTACTGCATTTTGTGGGCTACCTTCTTTTTTATTTCAGGACACAAGTGCTCCAGTAACAAGTAAAATTTCTTGCCACGGGCCGCATCCACTTTTAGCATCTACTAGCAATCAGCAACCATCTTGCTTGAAATGTGTCGCTTGCCCTGCAGATGTTACCACGGAGGAAATGTGTCAGCACCTGAGAACAGAACACTCTCTGCCGGAAATAACCTAGCAAATTGCACAGCAAGATAACATGGATAAAGTGCACATGTCAAGGGAGATTCACATCTTTTTAACCCTTAAAGTCACGTCAGCATTAGTAGAACATAGTCCCTTTTATTCCATGCGATAAACATTTTATTTTAATATATTCAATGTATTCAGTTTATTTATCTAATGTCACAAAGTCTATAGGTTCAGACTTTCAAGACAATCTGGTGGAGGTCCTTTTACTATATTTATTTGTTGTTTGTTTAGGAAATCATGAACACAGAGAAGGCAAACATTCTATACGGAATATTACAATACTGTACTTATCCATGTAATATTTTATGGCCGCATTTTGGCTCATTTTTTTAAAATTTTACACAGGGATGACATAGGTTGGCATAGTTTGGCTGCTGTGTTCTCTGCACTCTTGTGCTTTCCCTAAGCCTTTGTGTGTCTTGCAGAGGCACTCTCCTTATGTCTCTGGATTCTATCTGATGAACTTCTTCACAATAGTGGGGCTCCTTGCTCTTCAGCTTCTTGCTATGAAGCTTTCTGTCACAGTGCTCTCCGGCAGTCGTGAATTACCCTTTTGTTTGGTTTACTGGTTGTTGTGCTCCCTGGCATTCAGAAATGCCCCCCTTTCCAGTGGACATTGAAGTGTGAGTGCTATTGCATACTTATGCTACAATGTTACATTCCATACCTTAGTTTCCCATAGGAATCCCCCGTCATACGCTGACCAGCAGCCATGTTTGGCACCCACAAGTGACCAATCATATCTGTGGTACACCATGGTCCTTGGTCAGCCTTCCTGCTTACAATTATTTTAAGGCACACTGCACTAGTGTCAGTGTCTCTCTCTATTCACTCTGTCACTGCACTACTGTCAGTGTCTCTCTCTATTCTCTGTCACTGTACTACCATCAGTTTCTCTCTCTATTCTCTCTGTCACTGTACTACCATCAGTGTCTCTCTCTATTCTCTCTGTCACTGTACTACCATCAGTGTCTCTCTCTACACTCTATGTAACTGCACTACTCTCAGTGGTCAAATAAATGGCCACACACATTTTAAGTTGTTTGGTGTCTTTGACCTTGGGATGCCTTACACTGTGAGGCTGACTATCTGCCTTTCTCGTGAGATTTATGCCCCTGGGTCCAACTTTTAGGTAAAGTATCAACAACCATCAGCCACATCGCCCTTTGCAGAGACTCACATTCCACATCCACACATTTGATTCTTAAATGTAGTTGTCACTGGGAGGCCAATTTTTCACTTCTTCGCAAGGTCTGTTTTTTCAGAAGGATTTGATAAGGTTTGATAAAGTTATGTCAAAACGTTACTTGTTAACTGGGCACCATAATAAAAGATCACTTTGAGGATTGTGCTGGATCACTAATTAATAGTGATGTACCGAACGGTTCGCCGGCGAACGGTTCCTGGCGAACATAGCATGTTCGCGTTCGCCACGGCGGGCGAACATATGCGCGGTTCGACCCGCCCCCTATTCGTCATCATTGAGTAAACTTTGACCCTGTACCTCACAGTCAGCAGACACATTCCAGCCAATTAGCAGCACAGCCTTCCTAGCAGACCCTCCCACCTACTGGACAGCATCCATTTTAGATTCATTCTCAAGCTGCATGCTTAGTAAGAGGAGGGAAAGTGTAGCTGCTGTTCATAAGATAGGGAAAAGCATAGCTAGGTTAGGGATAAGGGTATGTTTTTTTTGGTTTTTTTTTTTCTATCTAATGTAAATGCACTTAGTTGTCTGCCACTGCTGCCAGCTTCTGTGTCAGGCTCACAGTGCCCATTTCCCCAGTCAGTGCCACCAATTACATCTGGTGTCACAATAGCTTGGATTTAAAAACAAAAAACTCTTTTCACTGTTATA